CTGTACTTTAACCCGCTGCGCCACCAGGGAGGGCCTGTTCACATTTTTCTTTAACTTCTTGACACACATACTTATAACAATTCAAAAGTGTGTCTGTTAATTCTATTATCAGTTATTAGTAGGTATTTTTTTATTGAATGAGAATTTTTCCTAATCATGAGTCACATTTTCCAATTTCTTTTCATGTCCAGTACTATTTTGGGTAATCACAAATTGTTATTTTTATTTTGAGTCATGCTATATATTGTTTAATCCTTGGACATTTTAAGAGTTAGTTCTAGTAGATGGCTAGTTATTTGAAAATAACTTCTGAGACAAATCCTTCTGAGCTTGTTTAAAAACATCAGCATTTAACTGAAGCTTGAGAGTCAGTTATCCCTATTACTGTAGCTTGATATTCATAAATTAATTCATTCTAGGATGTAATTATTGTCATTAAGTCTTCATCAATTACAATGTCATTAGGATGAAAAAAAAACAACTAAGAAAATGTTTTCCTTTTTTAGACACATAGTTGCTTTTGGACTAATATATACTAATGTGAAGCTGGGTAACTGCACATTGATTTTCCTTAAAGTCATTTCAGTATCAGGAATAATTTGTGACGGAACTGCTTGTGTGTGAGCTTTCATTTAGGGTGTGAGAAGTTAAGTAATTTTTCTAACTATATCCATTTTGACTATGTCTGAAAGTAGGTATGCTCACAAGGCTGGGAAGTGGCCCTAAGGTTTCCCTCCACAGAGCAAATGTTCCCCCCTCCACGTGACTGGCATCCATGTCTCCAATACCATTAGCTATATATCTAAAGCTATAATGAGCTTTCCAATTCTTCTGTCAATGTAAGGCAGCAACTAGGTGTCCCTGAAATAAAGCATGTTTTTGTGGCTGAAAAATAACAAATAAATGGTGAACAAGGCCATAAATGGAAAATATTCTAAAAACTACAATGCCCTATAATAAAAATACAAAACTGGTAATTCAAACAGCAAATGAAGAAGGGACAAATACCAAAAATACAAAGGGTACCTGTATTTACAGAAAAAGAAGCCGCAGATGGTGAGCAGATAAGATTTATATACTGATCTTGAAGGTATTTTCACTTTTGTACAAAAGCTGTTACATAAATTTCAATTTTGGGGCAAGAAGAAAATATGGATTGATTGAATTTAATATGTTCTTCTTCCCCTTCCTCTCAATAATATGAATCAAAGAGAAATGTACAGATTTGCATGGAGACAATTCTGATTGAGATTAGATCTGCCTGTCCTGTTAGATTAGAATATGATAATACACATAATGCAGATAATATGATATTATGCTTGGTACTATTAAAGGTTTCTCCTCTTAACGAAACATCTGAGATTGACAATAATTAAAAGGAAGCTTTATAAACAGTATTCTTACCAGAGCAACACTATCAAATAGTGCATACCACATACACTAGTAGCCTCAGAAAAAGATTTTAAAATTCCATATGTCATAAAAAGTTTGCATTAGTAGAATCTTCCTAATTTCTCAGTAAGTCTTTTTAAATATCATGTTGTTTGTTTAAAAATGATTTTCTATACTGTCTAGAGGACCCTAATGTTGCAAAAATCCACTTTAACAGAAATAATGCTTGTATAATTAGGCATTTTTCTGCTTCTGAGCAATGAGCATGTATATTTACATGAAAATATATATAATGCATTTTGTCCATAATGGACAAGATATTCACACAAATAACTCCTCTCAAACACATGCACAAATACCATCCTCATCACCATCACCATCACCTACATACTACAACATGGTGCCATGTTCTTTTACTCCCATCCACTAGACCCCTTACCTCTCGCCCTGTTTGCACAGCCTCCAGTCTTTTCAGGTTCAAACCCTGAAAAAAAAAGTATTACTGTGATGAAGGTAGTTATAACTAATAAGTGTACTGTTGCAAAAACAAAATAATTACAGTAATAGAAAAAATATTTTAACAATAATATCTCATGTACAAGCCAATCTCAATATATGAGTAAGTCTTCAAAGATGTGACCAATACAATTCCAGTTGAACCTGAGACAGCAAGTAAAATTAATATACTGTGCATCTGTTTTTATCAGTGATTGGTGAGCTCTTACTAAAATTGCAATAAAGTGTATTGTTTATTATAACTAGTAGCCAAGAACTGGAAACAACCTTAGTGTCCATGGATAATGATTGGATAAAGATGTAGTTAGTATATGTTGTATACATAGCTTCGCGATTTGTTCAGCTATTAAAAAATGCTACTCAACTATGAAATAGATTACTCAATCATTAAGAAAAAGAAGACAAACTACAGCCATTTGAATAATATGGATGGCTCTACCGGGTATTATACTTAATGAAATAAGTCATTTGAAGAAAGCCAAATATGATATGATTTCGCTTATATAATACACAGAAAAACTAAACAAATGGATGAACTAAAACAAAAATAGCCTTTTTAATGATAAGACCAATTCATAACAACCAGAATAGAGGTAGGAAGAAAGGGGTAAATTGGGTAAAAGGGGACAATTGTATGGTAAAGGATGGAACTTACATTTTAGTGATTGCCTTAATGTATTTACATATTGATTTTTAATGTTGCACAATTGAAACAATTTTATAAAACACTATTAATTTTAAAATATTAAAGAAACTAAAAATGCTGTTTAAAATTGAGGTAGTACACATACAGAATGCTAAGATAGTAAGCTCATACCTTTCTGCACTGCACCTGCACATCTCAAGGTCTAAATTTATGTATGATGGATTACTTACCCTATTACTGATCCATTGTGAGGAAATAAAATCCTCAATATTTTAATCAACAATCAACTTTGCTGCAAAGATCTTTTTCTCTCATTTCCTTTAATTATTCTACAATACATATTTATTATCTACTTACTATATTTTTTCCTGGCACAGTCATATTATTGAATAATTTATGCATCATCTATCTAACCTGCTAAATATGCTCAGTGAAATTTTTATTTATGATAGCTTAGTTTTCATCTCTATGAGTTCAATTTGGTTTACTGCATTTTTTATTTATTTCATTATGTTCACACTTTTCTTTTTTTTTTTTAAAGATTTATTTATTTGTGCATGCAGAACTGGGGTACAGGCCAGAGGTTCAGGGTGGCAAGAGGCTTCACCAGAAACAGAGCAGAACAGGCAGGTGGACGAAGAACACTGCTGAGGGGAGCAGCGGGCGGGTCAGGAGAGGTCTGCCGCGCAATTTGGTCACATCCGGGGCGGGTGGGGATCGAACTCATGCAGAAGTGGCTTCAGCTTCTTAGTACTGTACTTTAACCCGCTGCGCCACCAGGGAGGGCCTGTTCACATTTTTCTTTAACTTCTTGACACACATACTTATAACAATTCAAAAGTGTGTCTGTTAATTCTATTATCAGTTATTAGTAGGTATTTTTTTATTGAATGAGAATTTTTCCTAATCATGAGTCACATTTTCCAATTTCTTTTCATGTCCAGTACTATTTTGGGTAATCACAAATTGTTATTTTTATTTTGAGTCATGCTATATATTGTTTAATCCTTGGACATTTTAAGAGTTAGTTCTAGTAGATGGCTAGTTATTTGAAAATAACTTCTGAGACAAATCCTTCTGAGCTTGTTTAAAAACATCAGCATTTAACTGAAGCTTGAGAGTCAGTTATCCCTATTACTGTAGCTTGATATTCATGTGCTTTCTACTAAATTCCCCATTTAATCAATAATAGAACATTACTTTGGCTAATGAAAATTCAAAAGATTCTGAAGTGACAACTCCGGGAAATATTTTACCTAAGATCTTCTAGTAATAATTCCCTTCCAGAAGTTATATCGGAACTCACACAATGGTATTACATGTGTGTGTGTGTACACACACACGTATATAAGGTGTATATGTATATGTGCACATATATACATGCACTGTAGGCACATGTACATATATGTTGTATATATTTATACACTCACATATAAAAGGCTATTGAAATAAAATTCTCAGGAAAACATTTATGCATATTTCTAAGATTTCTAGAAATCCTTCTGTGTAGCCCCCTCTTATTTAAGATAATCTGTCCAGCAAATTCTAGGTTCCATGTCCTTCCCAAACTTAGATCTTTTTCTCTCAACTAAAAAAACAAACATCAAAGCCTTGAGGTTCTGTTTGTGTTGCCCCTTAACGTACCATAGTCCAAATGTCCTCAGGGGAAATCCAGGTATTGTAGTGCATTAGTTGTTTCACTGTTTTTGTTTTTTGTTTGTTTGTTTTGTTTTTGTTTGTTTGTTTTTAATTATTGTGAGAGAATAGCTCTATAAATTTCACCCAGTTTTTAACTATTACAGCAGGATGAAAGTCGTAGACTGATTACAATTCTTGAATAGAAACAGAAGTCAAGACCTATATTTTAAAGCTCATTTTTTAAAAGGAGAATATTAAACTTTACAAAATTTAAATTATGTGTTGTTGTATCATAGCTAGTGATTATAAAAATAAAATGTAGACAAATGGTTTCCCAGGTTATGAGAGCTAGGCTGGAACATGCCTCAACATAGAAATCAAATGATCTATAGTACACACATAGCTTAAGAATACTTATAGCGTGACGTCAGCAATATGAAGCCCCAAAGAATAGCAAAAATTAGTCTAAATAGAACAAGGCTTAGTATTCAAGTAACCACAGCAATAGGGTTGAATGGAGAGGTCACTAGTAGAAGTACTGTGACTACAGCTTCTACTAAGACATCTGCAGCAACCTTGATTTTTGCTGACTTGTATTGAAAGTAACATGATCAATTTGCTTTGATCAATCAAGCCCCAATACAACCTAATTAACCAAGTAATAACATTTAACACAGGAAATATTTAAATATATATTTAATTCAAGGAACCTCAATTCATCCTTTGTGTGTCTCTATACATACACAAATTATCTATATTTAAAATATGTATCGCACAATTTTATATTAAATGAAAAATATTTTTATATTTTGTATAATCTTCACCTAATACATTGAATTAATTATTTTTTCTGACTATGGAATTTGAAGTGGATTGACAAGAATAATAAACTTACCTATGTATAAATAAGTATGTTTACAAACCAGTCAACTTTTAAAATTAATACATTTTTAATTAATTTAAAATCCCACATCATTATTCTTAAACAGTATGGATATCATATCTATTAAATGTGTCTTGAGAAAATCATATTTTAAAACACTCTGGAGAATATGGTTAGAAAAAGATATTTCCCTCACTATACATACTTTACCACTAGAGAATATAAACTTTTTGTGTTGATCTAAATTAAACACATGAGACCAAGCCCAAATCCTGTAAGTTGTAGGAAGAAAAAATTACCTCAAGGCAAATATTCTGCAGCATGTTAAATTAAGACAGCTTAGTAAGGCATTAAGGGAAAATATATTAACTGTAAAATATGCAGAATTTCCTAACAAAATCTATCTTGCAGAACAACATTCAGACATTGGTATGAACATCACCAGTAGCTATGCTAGGGTGTGACAATATAATTGTATAAAATATACATAAGGTTGATATATCTCTTATTATAGTTATAAACCCTTCCAAAATTGCTATCATGTCAGTAAGGATTTCCCTGCTTCCGCAGAAACACAAGATCAGAAATATAGTTTCTAATACTTCTACATGTGGTTGCCTTGTTTTCTACATGTGGTTGACTATTTTTTTTTAATTTATTTATTTTTGCATATAAGAACTGGGGTACAAGCCAGAGGTAGGAGTGAGAGGACTCACCAGAGGCAGAGTGTGGAACAGAACAGGTGGACCTATTGAAATACACTACTGAGGGGAGCAGCAGTCAAGACAGGAGAGATCTGCTGGCCAGGTGGGTTACCTCCCTGACCAGGGATCAAGCTCCTGCTGCAGTGGCTGCAGATAGCTTCATAGTGCTGCATTTTAACCCCTTGCACCATGAGGGAGGCTCTAATATAGAAAACTGTTAATGAGCAGATAGTATGAATATTTCACTTCCAGTTTGGTAAAGATTTCATTGTGGTAATTCATCTTAAGTATAAAAGTAGTTATGATATAATTGGATAAAACCAAAATTAGCTTTTAAAAGACTTCAAGTAACTGTGTGACATTTTTAGATTTATCCTCAGCTGCATAGGTAAAAGAAAATGCTAGAAGGACTTTAAAATTACTTGCAGAGGAACCTCTTCATCTGACAGATGAGAGGAAATACAGAGAGGAAGTTAACTTATAAGAGGCAGATTTCCATCTTCAACTCTGGTCAGCAGTGACTGAAGTAAGGACTGCCTTTCAATAAAATGTTTTAGTAGTTTTTTAGTTTTCTTTTTAATAGATCATTGACTTAAAATTTGTATAACTTTTTGAGCATCTCTTTTACTAAATTGTTACTTTCTTGAATATTTATTTATGCTTACAGAACTGGGGTACAGGCCAGAGATGTGGTTGGTAAGAGGATCCACCAGAGACATAATAGAGAACAGGACAGGCAGATTGACAAAGTACACTGCTGAGGGGAGTCAGCGGGCGGGTCAGGAGAGGTTTGCCACCCCATGTGGGTCAGCTCCCTGGCCGGGGATTGAACTCATGCTTGCAGTGGCTTTGGAGAGCTTCATAATGCGGTGCTTTAACCCCTTGTGCCAGCAGGGAGAGACCTAAATTATTAAATTTTTAATGGATATCCCCAATAGGTATCATGACCACAGTGCATCTACCACCAAATCACTCATAGTCCACAACAGTACACTGAGAAATTTTTAGCCATTCTATGTCCAAGGTTCCACAGCTGTGAAAGTGAGCAGTTTTCAGGAGTAAATGTAAGAATTCATATAAAACTTTGCTCAATAACC